AGTGTGTGAGGGGGAGTGCCCTTCTCTTCATGTCATATGATTTGATGTGGTACTATTGTATGACATCACATCACATCACATCACATCACACCAATCACATCATATCATATCATACCATGGTGTACATCCTGTCACTGTGGCTCAGATTTTTTTTCTTTTGATGTAAAGTACAATGAAATACAAAATTATTAAGTGTACACTCTCAGAATTTTGGCAAATGCATTCACTCAGGTAACTCAAACCTCTATCAAAGTAGAGAATATTATTATCAAGTTGAAGTCCCAGTACTTTGGCCATCTGATGCAAACAGCAGACTCATTGGAAAAGACCCTGATGCTGGGAAAGATTGAGAGCAAGAGGAGAAGGGAGCGACAGAGGATGAGATGGTTGGGTGGCATCACCGACTCAATGGGCATGAGTTTGAGCAAGCTCTGGGAGATGAAGGACAGGGAAGCCTGGCGTGCGGCAGTCCACGGGGTCGCAAAGACTCGGACGGGACTTTGTGACTGAACAGCAGCAACACTGTCCCCCCGGGAAAGTTCCCCCATGCCCTCCCCTGCTCTGCCCTCCCCTCCAAAGATAACCACGCTTCTGCTTTTCTCCTGCTATGTTTTGGTTTTGTTTGCTGTAGAATTTAATAGAAATGGAATCTTACAGTGTGTTCACGCAGCATATTTTTTGTGGTATAATAATTCAATTTAATCCCCTAAAGCAATGGAAACGCATGAACCACAGCTACTGCAGACACTCAGGATGAGTCTTATTAGCCATGCTGAGTGAGCGAAGCCAGACACAGGAGATTATATCGTGACTCATCCCATTTCTTAAACATTCAAAAGTGGTCAAAAATAATTTATGGCACTACAGGTCAGGAGGGCAGCTAGCATGGGCAGGAGAGAGGGCGTGATCTAGGGAGAGACCAAGGAGGGAGTCAGCTGATGTGTTGTGATTTCCATTGACTTGGCTGGGGATTATACAGATGGGTGTAATCTTTGTGATAATTCATTAGGCTATACTTTTATGACTGTTGCTTTGTTCTTGGTGTATTACATATTATTAAAACACTTTAAATATAAGATACTAGTTTATGCCCATCAGCTGTGTGTGTGTGTGTATGTGAGTGTATTTGATGATGCCATGTGTATTCCCGATCTATTGCTGCGTAGCAAATTACCTCAAAACTTAGCAGCCGGTTTTTGTGGGTCAGGAGTTTCCAGCATCTTAGCTGGGTCTTCCATGATGTTGCGTGTAGGGTGTTGGTTGGGGCTGAAGGTGTATAAAGGTTTGAGGGGGCTGGCAGGTCCACCTCAGAGGCGGGGCACTCACACGGCCAGTTGCCTGGAGGTCTCAGCATCTCCCCAGGTGGACTTTGGTGTCGGGCTGCTTGAGTGTCCACATCACGGTGCTGGCTTCCTCTGGAGCGAGAGATCCCAGAGAGTCAGAACAATGTTTTCTAGATTAATACATGCCATGTATACGTATCAGTAGTGCATTCCTTGGGTTCCCCTGGTGGCTCAGCGGTAAAGAAGCTACCTGCCATGCAGGAGACCCAGGTTCCACCCCTGGATGGGGTAGATCCCCTGGAGAAGGGAATGGCTCCCCACTGCAGTATTCTTGTGTGGGAAATCCCATGAGCAGAGAAGCCTGGCAGGCTGAGTCCATGGGGTTGCCAAGAGTTGGACACATCTGAGCAACTAAGCAGACGTGTGTGTGCTAAGCCACTTCATTTGTGTCCGACTCTGTGCGAACCTGCGTCTCTTTTATCTCCTGCATTGGCAGGTGGGTTCTTCACCACTCACGCTACCTGGGAAGCACATACACAGTACATTCCTTTTTATTGCTAGGTAATATTCCATTTTATGACTAGATCATAATTTATCAATTCTGTTAATGAATGATGGCTGCCTGGATGCTTTCCAGTTTGGGGCTCTTAGGAATAAAGCTGATACGAACATTCTTCTACAAGTATTTTTTTAAAAGAATGTTTATTTATGTGTTTGGCAGGCTCGATGTTAGTCGTGGCACATGGGGTCTTTGATCTTTGTTGTGGCGTGTGGCTTTTTTAGCTGCAGTATTCAAACTCTTAGATGTGCACTTGGGATCTGGTTCTCTGACCAGGGGTTGAACCTCGGCCCCTTGCACTGGGGGTACAGAATCTTAACCACTGGACCACCAGGGAAGTCCTGAGATGGACTTTTTTTCACTCAACACAGTGCCTTGGAGAGATCCGCCGCAGTGGTCGTGTGTATCAGTTGTTCGCTCCTTTTCATTGCTCCACTCTATGAATGTACCGCAGTTTATCTGTTCCCTCATCGAGGGACATTTGGATTATGTCTTGTCTTTGATGATTACAAATAAAGTTGCTATAAACATGCATGTATAAGTGTTCGTGTAAATGAAGGGTTTTATTTCTCCCTGGTAGATACCCAGAAGTGGAATTGCTGAGTTGTAAACTCAAGTGTGTGTTTAACTTCATGTTCTTGTTGTTGTTCAGTCACTAAGTCATGTCCAACTCTTTTTGACCCCATCAACTGCAGCACGCTAGGCTTCCCTGTCCTGCACTATCTCCTGGAGTTTTCTCAGACTCATGGTGATTGAATTCATGATGCCAGCCAGCCATCTCATCCTCTGTTGTCCCCTTCTCTGCCTTTCCTCAATCTTGCTCAGCATCAGGATCTTTTCCAATGAGTCGGAACTTCTCATTAGGTCGCCAAAGTATTGGAGCCTCAACATCTGTCCTTCCAATGAGTATTCAGGGTTGATTTCCTTTAGGATCGACTTCATAAGACACTGTTAAACTTTTCCAGAGCGGCTGTAGCATTTTTTTCAGAGTTCCCACTACCAGTGAACGAGAGATCCAGTTACTCTGGGTCTTCTTTACAGTTGGTACTGTCAGTGTTTTTATTTCAGCCTCTCTGTTAGGTATTTACGATTCAGGTTTTTAAACTTAGTGTCTTATAGTCTGGTCCTAATTCCGCATGTGGAACTTCCCAGTGAGGCATCGTCTTATTAATACTTATGCTGGATGCCCATCCCCTACACGACTCTGAGGATAAGTGAAGCTCCTGTCTTTTGCTTTTACTCTTGCCTGTAATGTATCCTAGCTCAGAGGTTTTCAAGATTGTTCTTAATAATGGAACCATGTTTAAAAAAGCGAAGTCCTACACAGACCACCAGTAGGTAAGTCAGATGGTGGAGCTGCTGGGAGTAGAGCTGGCCCTCTCTGGACCCCATCACCACCCCAACAGCTGTCCTCAAGGTGCTGCCCAGCATATGGGTCCCAGCTCTTACTCTCAACTCTCATGCCGTCTACCCAGGACCTGCCAGGTCTCTTAATTCCATAGGGCCTCTCTCTGCCACTTACGGCACAGACATAAAAATATTTGCCAAATCTTCATATCTTACAGACCCAAGGAGACAGAAAAGAGAAATTATATCTGTTAAAATACCAAAAACCATTGTTATTTATGATTTATGCCTTCTGTGTGTCTGTGTGCTGAGTCTGTCTGACTCTTTGTGACCCCATGGACTGTCTCCTGCCAGGCTTCTCTGTCCCTGGAATTTTCCAGGAAAGAATACTGGAGAGGGTTGCCATTTCCTCCTCCAGGGGATCTTCTGACCCAGGGATCGAACCCAAGTCTCCTGCAGTGGCAGGTGGATCCTTAGTACCACTGCGCCCTGGGAAGCCCAGTACTCTTAGTAGGCCACCTTAAATGCTAAATACTGTTTGTATAACACAGCTTTCCAGGGGGTGCAGTGGTAAAGAATCCGCCTGCCAGTGCAGGAGATTCAAGGAGGTGCAGGAGATGCAAAAGTTCAATCCCTGGGTCAGGAAGATGCCCTGGAGTAAGAAATAGCAACCCACTCCAGTATTCCTGCCTGGAAAACCCTGTGGACAGAGGAGCCTGGTGGTCAGTCCACGGGGTCACAAAGACTGAGCACAAGAGCAAACAGACTAAGATTGCTAAAATTAGGGGTTGATATTTAAAAACAGAAAATGCACAAACAAATATGTATGTTTCATGGGAGAGCTTGAGATGTTCCTGAAACCCTGACTTTTCCATCACAGAGATAGTTACCTTTTTGCTTGAAAAGCATTAGGAATTTAGACATTCATATTATGATAGGCAGATGTTCAAGCTTTCAGGAGGACAGATTCTAAGATTTTTTTTCATCCAGCTTTGCTATCTTTGTTAAATAGTGATTCCTTGGGGTTGCTGTTGAAATGAAGAACAAGCGCCATCTAATGGCTATATTTAAGTGTACAGGTCAAAATAAGTTAAAACATTTGTTTTTGGAATATGTATCCTTTAACTTACATGCTAGCAAGATTATGCTCAAAATCCTTCAAGCTAGACTAGCAGCATATGAACTTTCAGATGTAAAAGCTGGGTTTAGAAAAGGCAGAGGAACCAGAGATCAAATTGCCAACGTTCATTGGATCATGGAGAAAACAAGGGAGTTCCAGGAAAGCATCTTTCTCACTGGAGGGTAATCGCTTTACAGTGTTGTGTTAATTTCAGCTTGCAGCAGTGTGGCTCAGCTGTACGTGCAGACACATCCCCTCTCTTCTGAGACTCCCTCCCCTCCCCCCGCCCACCCCTCTCAGAGCCCTGGACCAGCTCCCTGTGCTGTTGAGGAGGTGCCCGCTGGTCCTTTGTTTTATGCGTGGAGTGTGCATACATCCATCCCAACCTCCCAGCTCATGCCGCCCTCCCCTCTCCGCGCACCGGCCCCCGCCCCTCCACAGGTACATTCTCTAAGTCTGCATTTCTATTCCTACCGTGCAACTATGAAACATTTCTTTCTTTCCCTTTTGACCCCCTGTATTGACCACACAGCTTGTGTCACACACACTGGCCTCCTTTGACCCACAGTATCAAACAAGAGCTTCAGAGAGGCCCAGGAAAGACGTCTGTCCTGCCATATCCCTGGGTCCAAAGGCTCCATTCACGGCCAGTTCAAGGTCTTAACACCTGTTTTGTATCCATTTGTCACAGGTATGATTTGAATCTGGATGAAATGAGAACTTTGACATTTCAGAGAGTGACTTTTACCATGGGCCTCCCTCTGTTAAAACGTGCAATTCAGGATCAGGTAAGTCTCACTGTTACTATGGTGTAAAGTGTGTGAGTGAATGAGAGAGAGACAGAGAGGGAAAAAGATTTTGTTTTGCTTTGTTTGCTTTTTTGACTTGTGGAAGGAAGCACACTAATTTTGTCCTGGGGGAAGCAGACAATATGGTCAGTATGGGAATGGCTCCCTCACCCTCCTGTTCTGCCCCCTTCCTGTTAATCTAATTGACATTCACTTCTCTCAAGCCAGCAGGCCAGGATGTAGGAGAATCAGCAAAGGTAGTAAAATATTTGTTCACAAAACAAATATGATTTGGGTTTTCAAGTTCAAATATCTGAGAAATGTAATAATAAAATAATAAAAATAAACAATTCATTTTACAGGCTTTTCAAGCATTTTAGTCTTGTCAAAAATGGATGAGTCTTGTTTGTCTAAAAGTTGCCATTCTCAACGCAGTGAAATTTTTTTAGTGATTTTAGCCTTGCTAAAAAGAGAGAAGGAAAGAAGCAAAGAAAATGTGATGAGAGGATTCCTTTGTGAGGCTAGCATTAGGAGCTCTATATTTAGCCAAGTTTAAGTCCATTCCATATAGTCCATTAAGTTCGTTCATATANAAAATATTTGTTCACAAAACAAATATGATTTGGGTTTTCAAGTTCAAATATCTGAGAAATGTAATAATAAAATAATAAAAATAAACAATTCATTTTACAGGCTTTTCAAGCATTTTAGTCTTGTCAAAAATGGATGAGTCTTGTTTGTCTAAAAGTTGCCATTCTCAACGCAGTGAAATTTTTTTAGTGATTTTAGCCTTGCTAAAAAGAGAGAAGGAAAGAAGCAAAGAAAATGTGATGAGAGGATTCCTTTGTGAGGCTAGCATTAGGAGCTCTATATTTAGCCAAGTTTAAGTCCATTCCATATAGTCCATTAAGTTCGTTCATATAGTTAAAGCTGTGGTTTTTCCAGTAGTCTTGTATGGATGTCAGAGTTGGACTGTAAAGAAGGCCGAGTGCTACAAAACTGGTGCTTTTGAAGTGTGGTGTTGGAGAGGACTCTTGAGAGTCCCTTGGACTGCAAGGAGATCAACCCAGTCAATCTTAAAAGAAATCAACCCTGAATATTTATTGGAGGGACTGATGCTGAAGCTGAAGCTCCAAAACTTTGGCTACTTAATGCGAAGAACTGACTCATTGGAAAAGACCCTGATGCTGGGAAAGATTGAGAGCAGGAGGTGAAGGGGGCAACAAAGGATGAGATGGTTGGATGGCGTCATTGACTCAATGGCCATGAGTTTGAGCAAATTCTGGGAGATAGTGAAGGACAGGAAAGCCTGGCGTGCTGCAGTCCATGGGGTCACAAGGAGTCAGACACGACTGAGTGACTGAACACCAACAACAAAGTCCATTCATACAGCTTCGTAGCTTCCTTAATCCTAACATTTTATACAGGAACAATATACCTCTTGGTGAGACCCCTGGTGGAAGGGCCTGAACTGGGGATGAGCTTCCTTAGATGCTGAGAAGCTGAATGTATTCTGCCCTGAGCCTGGCCCCCTTTCTGCCCCCTTGGTTTGTAGAGAGAGAGGCTGAGGACCGAACCGGTGGGAGTCTCGCCCATTCGGGAGACCACGGGGCTTTGTTTCTCTGTGGAGTGTGACTCAGAGCCAGTGGGGGCCTGAGGTCCATGGCTGAGACCACATCCCACCCCCTCACCCACCTTGTTGGCTGTCTGTCCTGGGGAGGCAGGGACAGAAGTCAGCATCTTCTCATCAGGAGGGAGTTAGAGGCAGAGCTTTGGTATCTCCTGGCGAGGTCCCGCAGTCCCTCGGAGGTGACAGGGCATAGCATTGCCACCCTTAGATGGAGAGTGTGTGCAAGGAGACACCCACAGAACAGGGTACGCATGTTGGGTGAGGCCTCGAGGGTAGTTCTGCACTGGTCAGAGCACACTGGCAAAGTAGATGTCCAGACTGGCGAGTTGCCTCTAAGTGGAACACACATTTAGAGGCGAATACAACCAGACAACCTACCAGCCAAACAGCCTACCAACCTGCCAACTAATGACCAACCAAGAAAACAACCAACTAACCACCCAGTCAACCTACCAACCAACCTACCAACCAAACAGCCTACCAACCTGCCAACTAATAACCAACCAAGAAAACAACCAACCAACCAACCAGTCAACCTACCAACCAACCTACCAGCCAAACAGCCTACCAAACTACCAACTAATGACCAACCAAGAAAACAACCAACTAACTGACCAACCAACCAGTCAACCTACCAACCAACCTACCAACCAAACAACCTAGCTACCAACCTGCCAACCAACCAACCAACCAACCTACCTGCCAACTGCCAACTAACCAACCTACCAACCAAACAACCTACCAACCAACCTACCAACCAACCTACCAACCAACCAACCTACCAACCAACCTACCAACCAGTCAACCTACCAACCAACCTACCAACCAAACAACCTAGCTACCAATCTGCCAACCAACCAACCAACCAACTAACCAACTTACCAACCAAACAACCCACCTACCAACCTGCCAACCAACCAACCAACTAACCAACCTACCAACCAACCAACCTACCTACCAACTGCCAACTAACCAACCTACCAACCAAACAACCTACCTAACAACTGCCAACTAACCAACCTACCAACCAAACAACAAAATAAACAACCAGCCGACCAACCAACTAACCAAGAAAACAAACAAACAACTAAATTAGCCACCAAACAGCCCACCAACCAACCAACCAACCAAACATAAACAAACCCCAATCCCTCTTTGCTTTCAGCTGCTTTCTCCATCACAGCCTGGCCTCCAAAGGCATCCAGCCTGGGGCTGGGGGAAGGTAAGAACTTGACATGGGGGCCAGTCTCCTGCCCCTTTAATCAGCCCATTATGTCTAAGGCTTAACTTAGTGTCAAAATTCAAGACCCGGACGTGAGAGCTGATGCTTTAATGAGGTTTACAGTCTCAGCCCGACCCCCATGTCTGAAGGAATAGCCTGCGTACCCTTGCTCCCCGTGAAGCATGTGAAGCCCTGCATCCAATTACCTTCCTGTTTCCTTGGCTCCCTCTGGGTCGTCAGCAGCCAGACAGCCCTGCCCTGGATGTTTAGGTATGATTCCCCTGGGAGGCACAGGATTGGCCTTGGACGATCCCTCCAGTTCATTTCTGTTACTTATTTCAGGCTGCTTGGCGCTTATCTCTGTGTGAATTAGCAAAAGTAAAAAACCTGAAGGAAATTAAACCAGTTGGTCATTGGTCACCAGGGCATAGGCTCCTCTTGGGGGATGGGTGTCCTAAGATTCATCTGTGTGTAAAGACTCTCAAATTCGACCCAGTGAACAGCTGGAGGAGCTGTCCACAGCCAGTAATTCTAGAAGAAGTGTTGCATGATTCATCCATGACTTATCTGCTTCTTCCTGAAATTATTGAGTCACGGCTGCACTGCCCATTCAGAAATCGGTCCAAGTCCTTCCATCTTTCCCTGGCCCTCCTGTTGCTCTTAACTTTTGGGGACGATCTGACGAGCACCCAGGCAGAGGGCGGCGTGTAACGTGTGATGATGATGTTCTTGAAGACGAACGCGGAGCGAGCCTCATTTGTCTCAAGACTCGGCAGACAGCCCACAGGCTGAGAAGAAGCCAGTAAAATGTTTCCACTCTGTGTTCTCCCCTCTGTCATCTGCAATAGATTAGAGATGTTTCGATAATGTAAAAAGGAAAACAGTATCTGAGCGTGACTAGAGAGCATATACACTTGCACATGTGTGCACGCACACACACACAAACACACAGACAGTGTGAATCATCGCATTGCACCCTTTGACTCTTCCTGCACCTATTTGCAGCGTCATCATCTTTGTGCCCTTCTGTCAACTCTCTCGTCTCTCCCGGAGAATTCAGGACCAGGTCCTGGGGGGTGGAAGTCCTGGCTCCCAAAATTTCCAGATGAAGACACAGAGGACTCAGTTGGGACATCTATTTTGTGGAAGCACTCAGACTGGACCCCATCCCCTTCCTTGGGTGCCTGGTCCCGTCTCCTCAAACATTGTCCATGGAGGCTGATGGTCTGCACCCAAAACACCATAACTAGTAACAACAGCTCACATTTACTAAATTCATATTTTGTGCCAGATACAGCTCTAAGAACTTTGAATGAATGATCTCATTTAGTATTCCAAACATCCTTAAAGGTATTCCCATTTTACAGATGAGTAAACTGAGGCTGAGGAATTGACCAGAGGTCATAGGGAATGGAAACCCACTCCAGTATTCTTGTCTGGAAAATCCCATGGACAGAGAAGACTGGCAGGCTACAGTCCAGGGGGTCACAAAGAGTTGGACACAGCTGAGTGGCCGAGCTTACGTGCACATGCATGCAAGTAGTAAGCTGTATGTGTAACTAGTGGAGCACAGATTCAAAGCCAGGGCGGTTGCTTCCTGAGCCCACTCAAATCGGATGATTTCACCCCAGGGTGCACTTAGAGTCCCCTAAAGGAGCTTTCCAAATCCTTGCCACCCAGGATTTCGGTCAGGCCAATCGAATTGGCATTTATGTCTCTCAGGTGGTGCAGTGTTCATCCTGGCTTGAGTGCTGAAGCACTGACCGTCTTTCTCGGTACCCTGTACCGTCTCTCTAGATTCTTCCCATTCAGTATTTGGTCCCTGCCAATCATGGTTCGTATCAATAATCTCAGATATGCAGATGATACCACCCTTATGGCAGAAAGCGAAGAGGAACTGAAGAGCCTGTTGATGAAAGTGAAAGAGGAGAGTGAAAAAGGTGGCTTAAAGCTCAACATTAAAAAAACTAGGATCATGGCATCTGGTCCCATCACTTCATGGCAAATAGATGAGGAAACAATGGAAATAGTGACAGGCTTTATTTTCTTGGGCTCCACAATCACTGCAGATGGTGACTACAATGAAATGAAAAGATACTTGCTCCTTGGAAGAAAAGCTAGGGCCAACCTAGACAGCTTATTAAAAAG